GGTAGAACCGGTTGTTAAGTAGTTAAGCCAGTGGTTGCCAAAGTGGGCGGTACCGCCCCCTGGGGGGTGGTGGGATGCCTTAGGGGGGCGGTAAACGGCAAGGGGGGTAGCAAGAGGGACACTAGAGCCAAAGGGGGCGACAGGGAGGCTAAGTGGCAAGGAGGGTGGCCCCCCTTTGACCTGTGCCTCGCAGCACTTACCTCCTTGCAAGCAAACAGCAAGAAAAAAACAGCCTCTTTCAGTTTCAGCATAGGTTAATTTGCATGATTAGATCGGCCTCCGACTCTCAGCTGATTCGCTCTCAGCTGTTTTGCAGGCTTGTCTGCAAGCTCTTGTTTTGCAAGCTCTTTGCTTGCTGCAAAGAGTGCTCGAGCAGATTTTTTTTTCTCTAGCTAAAAGGAAAATGAAAGTAAAGCAGGCTCTGCTGCAACGTGACAAAATGAGGCAGGGAGAGAGATTTCTTTTTCTTTCTCACCAAAAAAGATAGGTGCAAACAATGGGAAATTTAGGGCAAAAGAGGAGAGTTCAAGATTTTAAAAGACAAAAGAAAAAAAGCTCTATTTAACTAGGGAATTGTAATAATTGAGATACTATTAATTGTATATTGTGTTGAAAGCAGAAATGGTTAAGTTGTGGTTTGGAGTAATATATAGGGGAAATTATTTGGTTTATTATTATTGGTAAATATAATTAATTGATTTGTAAGAAATTGGATTGCTTGGAAATAATTGGAATATTCATGTTCATATTGATTAATATACAAAAAAGGTAGTTATATAACTAATTGATTTATATTAAAATGTTGAATTTATATTAAACAACTGTAATATTACATAATTAACCAATGTGAGGATGGATATAAAAATATATGACAATGGGAAAGGGTATAATATAGAATAGAAGGGAAAAATTGAATTTAATTAAGATTAGAGATGAGGATGAAGGGTAATATTGGTTTTTTAAAAAAATAGACGAGGAATAAATATGGCAAAAAGGAAATAGAAATTGTAAATTTAATTGAAATGACTAAACACTGTTTAAATTTGTGAACCAGCCAAATACTCTGTTCAAACAAAATACATTGTATGTTTGTATGTATGTTTCTAATTATTGCTATTTATTCATATTTGTACTCTTTTATTCTTTAAAGTTTAACAATTCATTCTTTATCTTAATATCTTTAGATTTGTATGGGGTTGGCTTTCTTCGCTTTCATCTTTTTTATTGTACAGCAATCTTTCTCCTCAAACCTACCATCCCTCTCTTTTCTTTCCTTCTTACTTTCTCTTCCCCCCTCTTCTTCTCCTCCCTACTTCCACTTCCTTTCTCCTTCTCCTCCTCTCTTCCTCCTTCTCTTACCCTCACTCCTACTCTAATTTGCGTTCCTTCATCCCTCTCTATTGCTGTATCCTTTTATGCATATGGACTACTCAGAGTTATTTTTGACTGGTCCTCGCACTTTTGACCAGTCCTCGAACTTACGACTGTCCTAACATTTTATGTTTTTGCCCTATCTTGTCACCATGGTGAAGAGAAGCAGTTGTGAAATGAGTGACACGGTTGTTAAGAATGCTACAATGGGCATAAATGATGACCAGTCATAAATGCGAAGACCGGTCAAAAGTGCGAGAACCTGTCAGAAATCACTTTTTTCAGCCCTCTGGGTAGTCCTTTTGTGCATATGGACTACTCAGAGGGCTGAAAAAGTTATTTTTGATTGGTCTTCGCACTGTTGACCAGTCTTCGAACTTACGACTGTCCTCACATTTTATGTTTTTGCTCTAGCTTGTCACTATGATGAAGAGAAATAAGTGACACAGTTGTTAAGAATGCCGCAACAGGCATAAATGTGAGGATGGTCATAAGTGCGAGGACCGGTCAAAAGTACGAGGACCAGTCAGAAATGATTTTTTTCAGCCCTCTGAGTAGTCCCTATGCAGATAGCCACGCCCACCCGGTCACATGACCAGCTAGCCACGCCCACCCAGTCACATGACCAGCTAGCCACACCCACCCAGTTGCATGACCACCAAGCCACACTCCCAACTAAGCCACGCCCACAGAACCGGTTGTTAAAAAAATTGAATCCCACCACTGGTTAAATGTAAAACTTGCTATAGTATACAACTTCTAGATCCTAATCTAGGGTATAAATCATCATTGTTATCATTATCATCATTATTATGGCCCTTGATTCTAGCACTGATTGGCCAGTAGAATGGACTCACATAAAGTGATCAAAGATGATTGAAGTTGCTAGAAATTAGCTGCCAATCAGCTAGCAAGCTACTTTTAGTTTCTGCTTAATAAAAAGAGTTACTTCTACTGAGAAAATTCATAGTAAGAGCACACACATGCAAACACACACACACACACACACACTCACACACTATGAAGTTTAATGGATCCCTACCCATTCCAACAGCTTTTTTGAAAAGTTGAGGTAAGAAATGGGGCTATAATGAACCTGGACCCCTCTGTGACCACATAAAGGTCATCTATCTTCTGTTTTCATGTTTTGGGCATCCATGGCTGGAAGACTGCAAATAGGTTGTCCTAGTATATAATCCATGTGTTTCAATCATAGAGATCAAAGTGAAGAACCTATGTAGAATTCAATTAATTTACTATATTAAAGATATGGAAGAATCTATATAAAAGTCAATCAAATTATTGTATGTACCATGTTTCTCTGAAAATAGGACCTACCCCCAAAATAAGCCCTAGTGAAGGGGGTGGGTATGGCTAGCATAGGAGGCAGTGAGTGCACAATTAAGTACCTGTGCAAGCAGCAGGCAGAACCAGAGGTGAGGAGCAGGCAAGCGATCTGGATGCACCATGCAGGTTGTGGGAAAGCCAAGCAGGGGTGGGCCAGAGCAGCAGCTGCATGTGTGAGGCTTATCTTCACACAGTGACACCGGCAGCAAACAAAAGCAAAGGCGCAGGTAATCCGGACATGCCGCATGGGCCGCAGGAAAGCTGAGTGGTGGTGGCCTGGAGCAGCAGGTGCCAGCAGGAGGCTCATCTTCATGTCTCTCAGCTTGTTTGCAGCCCACACTGTGTGTTGTGATTGCCTGCCTCCACTCCATGCCTTCCACTCTGCACAGCCTTAGTTGGCCCAGAGTGTGCCAACTAAGCGACTGGCGGCTGCAGCTACTGTTAGATGCCGTCGGTTCCTGCACACTTGCCAGCTCTTGTGTGTGTGCTGGGAGTGGGACACCTAGCTGGGCTGATTATCCTGAAATTGTGTTTCCTTGAAAATAAGGCCTAGTGCTTATTTTGAGGCGCAAAAGAAAATAAGACCGGGTCTTATTTTTAGAGAAACACAGTAGATATGGAAGGAGCACTAGCTTTATACTGTAGTCACTTGCCAGATTATCATGTAAGGCACACTTGTGACCCACTTTTTGGGATTATCAGGAAAGTCTGTATAAAATGTGAGTTACTCCCTGATTTTAGTGAAGTAAATATACTATAATAATAACAACAATACCAAATGTATGTTTTTAGTAAGACTTTTAGCTATGTTAGGAGAGCATTTTCATAACATCCACAGCAATGCATTAAACAGTCAAAAACAGAGCAGAATCTTGCTCACACTGAACACCCCGTTGCCTGAGAGAAGTCCTGTCCAATAAGACTCTGTGAGATCCCAAACAAATACAGATCAATATGCAGAGCAATCATTTATATGTGACCAAGTTCACTACGAGTTCCCCAAATATGTAACGCACAAGCAGAAACTTTCACTTGCACCTGATAGTCAATCAGTAAAGCCAACTATCTTTTCATTCTATATCTTTATATCTATTTCTTTTCAAATCCTGGCATTTCAATCTTAAATAAAAGTCAATGCAAATCGAAGAGATTTGCTTCCATATGCCTTTTCTTAGTACTCAAGAAGTGGCAGCTGAACTAATCTGAATTGGGAACCTGAGCAATGTAAAACCTGTTTAGTATTAGGATTGAAGACTGCAGAAATAGGAAGGTTGCAGGTTAGATTTGAAGGTCAAAAATATCCCAGAAGACTATAGTGATAAGGTGACCAACTTTTTTACAATGAGGAGGAGGACACGTGCATGTCGTGTTTCAGTAAGAAGTAAACAAAGCCACTTGCGCACGGCGCACTCTTGCGTGCGGTGCACTCTCTCAAAACAATTATCCTGTGCAGAGTGCATGCGTCTCAAAATTGCATCTCACCGCACTGTACCAAGCCTTGACGAATCGTCATGTCAAATACAAATACATCACATCACATGCAACCGATTGGATCGCCATCGATCGAATACGGAGATTTATAGATTAGTCTTCAAATATCGAAAAGGAGGACATGTAGAAGGCCATTTTTCGAGAGAGGACAGAACTTACAAAAGAAGGACTGTCCTCTCTAAAGGATGACGATTGGTCATCTTAATAGTGACAAATAATATATATATAATATATATCCACCCAACTCACTCATGGTGACTGCAGGCACTTTACAGGAGTAAAAGCTTTTTCCAGGAAACATGCATGCTTCTGGTTATGAAGTTACCATGAATGCATTGGTTAGTAGTAGTATTACTATGAAAGAATAGATTTTCAAATGCGGTAATAATGAAGTAAATTGCTGGGAAATCACCAGAATCTGCAATGAAATGTATTTACATTGATGGATTCTTTCTGTCTGTTTTTCTGTGAGTCTATTCATTTCTTGGCTTTGAAAAAACTTATTACGGGGATGGGGGGGGTGGATGTAGGGGAGACAACACTTCTCCAGCAATCTGTTTCAGGCAACAAATAAACATATTCTGTTTGTGGGTGGCCAGCATATTAACACTGATTCTTTTTTTAAAGTAAAGTAAAAGAGGTCTCCAGATACCATATAATAAGAGATGTTTACTTTAAGCTAGTTCCACCATGGGTCATTTTTCTGATTGTCAAGGCTGCTGTATTCTAACGCTGGTAGATTTCAGCCTGTTACTTCTATTTGGCATTTTGAAAAAGAAACAGGAACCAACCTGAATGCTGTGAGGTACTCCACATCTCCCATGGGGGGATCTAGGCCACCTGTCCAAGCAATATTTATATTATAACCTTCACCAGGGCCACTTCCAACCTAAGAGGAGGAGGGGGAAGGAGGGGGAAATGCCGGAGGGAAAATGGAGAGGAAAGGCAGAGAGTGAATCAAAATAAGAAAATGCACAAAAATGTCCTTTTGAAACCAACTTCAAACAGCATGTCAAATCAACCTGGCCCCACTTGACAAGGACTGTTCTGGGTTATGCACTTGTTCCACCCTGTCCCCACTCCCAGTGGGCCATTTGGTAATCTAATGCAATTTAGAGCACCAATGTAGGATGAGAAAATTAGGGGTAATCATGCAATGCAATTACCTGAAAAGATACAAATAAAAAATGGGGTTGTAAAGAAATAAACTTAACCTCATTTGGGGCTCCGCTGCCAGGGAAGAAGTTGCCTTCATCATAGCGATGGAGGGAGACATACAGGATGCTGGGGTCAGAATAAAAAGCCTGCTGTGTACCGTTGCCATGGTGAACATCCTAAAGGGGAAAGAAAACAGATGACAAATGCAATCATGTCCAAGAGTTCTTTGCTTTCTCTTCTTCTCCTTCTCCTTCTCCTGTGTCTCAGTCTTAGTCTTTCTCCTTCCTTCTTTCATTCTTTCCTTCCCTTTTTCTCTCCCCTTTCCACCCGCCCTTCACCGCTCTAAACTTCCTGAACTTTCAGGCAAATTACTCTTTAATACACTCATTTTTTAAACTGGCTTCTAAAAATCAGGAAACCACAGTGAGCATGCCCTTGAGACTCCAGATGAGCAGTCATTGAGAAATCCCAGTCCTTTTGTACAATTAGATATTATACACCGGCCCTTTGTACTCCTTGTCTCAGTGATGGAATCTAGCATCCTGTTTTATGGAGGAATTTTATGACTTATTAACTGCCAACAGTTCATAACCCCTCAGGCTTAATTAACTTGGTTTCATTGGCTTTTAAAAGGGGGGATAGGCAAAACTTGAAAATACAAACTAGTATTTTACAAAGGGATCTATGGACTATAGAACTCAAGCAGTCTTTGTTGTTTGCAATTTTTGACAAACACTAAAAAGTTCATGCATTCGTTGATTTTTCAAATTCTACTACTGAGGTCAAAGGGTTTGCAACCAGCTGAGTAAATTGGTTTCCTTGAAACATTCAGTTCAGTTAGCAGTCCCTCAGCAGCAAGACCCACATCAAAAGGGAATCCAGATGCAGAAAGGACTTTATACTTCATTTCATAAAATCTTGACGTGCAGTTGATGTGTAAGAATATGATCTCATTAGTTTCAAGCAAACTGAGCTTCCAAAGGCCACAAATGCCATTCATTTTGTATGATATGAACTGGCAGGACACTTGATAAATGACTAAATTTACTAATATTCTGACCAAGAATTAATTATACCTAACCTTCTATGTGCCTTACATACAGCTAGTACATGTGTGCTAAATATTTTCAGTAATTTTTTTCTAGCATTTTTAAATAGTAAGGCTTATCATGTTTCCTTAAATTAATTCTTATTGTAAAAGCATGGGACTCCCTTAAGGGAAGTATAGAAAAAAAATGTTTTTAAGCATAATAGTTTTGGAAATGAGGCCACTAGAAACTATATGCTACCTGATTTGAGGAAAATCTGGGAAACAACATTGCCAACAACTTATCAAGGCTCTGCCACTTCCAACTTGAAAGACTCGAAGTAAATTTACCATGAAGTAGAGGGCATAAAACTACTGTGCATCAATATTTAATATTGCAATTAAATCAATTTGCTCCTCCTCAAATTATTGAGACTATCACTATCTTCACAATGCTTAGCATGTTTCTTCTAAGGTTTTCCTTCTCATTCCCGCACACATTGCATATATAGCCCATCACTTTTTCACAAGGGCTGGCAGGAGTGTTTTTGTTACATGCTCCTTCAAGAATAGAGTACATGCTGCTTCAAAACTTTGAAGAATGGTACTCTGTACAATCTTAGTAAATATTTATCACCACACTGAAAAACATTAGGCAATAAAATATCTGAGAGCTGCCCATTCCAACAGCAATTGTTCAGTAAGAATAGTGGAGATCAAGTTGGGGCCATTCTTTTGGTCAGAGCAGCTAATTGTCATGGATTTCTTTCACAGACTTGTTTTGTCCCTGCTATGTAATTCCTCACTAAACTAGATTGAAATCTATTGCTATTCTTATTTTTGTTGCTTTTATGTATTAATTGTATATCTTGCTTTTCCACAAAAGTTACACTCTAGGTGGCTAACTTATAATGAAATAAAAATGAAATTAAAAAATTAAAATGTCATGCTCTTAAACACATAAATAAGGGCTCTCGGGAAATGGAAACTTACTTATAATTCAGCTAAAATACCCCAAACTATTATGAATGAACACATCTTTGCTTGCTGATGGAGTTCTGAGTGTAGTTATCAAGTCTTTCTTTTGCATTCATTCCATATAGGCCCATGATAGCAACAAGATTCAGAGAAGATTTTCTCAGAAGAGTTTGAAAGTCAATCTGTTCACATGTAAGTAAATAGAAAGTGGAACGAACACATCTTCTAAATATGTGAGTTCCAAAACATATCAATGAAGTGAGTGGTGCAACATTCAGAGTAGTGTTCTTAGGCAACTATGTAATTAAATGAGTACAGAACTGCTTCTGAAATCTGCCAGAATTAATTTAAACTTTTCTATAAAACTCAAATAAATACCTGAAAGCTCTTTGCTATTTTACCATGCTAATATCTTTATTCTTTCTTTATTCTTGCTTAAATGTGTATGTATGGGTCTATCTGTGTAAATAAATGTAAATAAGGAGATATTTAGGGATTTGTCCATCCATCCATCCATCCATCCATCCATCCATCCATCCATCCATCCAAAAACCTGTCTTCATTCACTTTGAGATACTTTAATTCCATTTATAAATGAAGAAAATCATGAACAGGGTCATATTTCCGCTGAGAAGCTTCATTGAGGTATGTATTGCATTTCAGAGATATTATGACCCTATCATCTCCAACTATAAGGTTCATGTTTTTTTTTTTCTGGGCTGCTTTAAAAGGCAGATCTTGAGTTAAAATACTATTTTAATTTATGACTGGGACTGGTAATTTAATATACCAAATCCTTATACACAATAACATTTGAGAGAGGGCTAACTTAAAGATATCCAAGAGATTAAGAAAAAGAATTTCAAAAGTTTAAATTATAATATAACAATTATTATTTACAAATAGTACTTTAGAAGGTCTTTATTCCTGCTTCTGCATTCACACAATATACTCAGTATGATTAAATACTAATGATTAAGGAATTCACTACATAATGTATCACAAATGACACAAACTTTTTTATTTTAGTTATGATTCTGGTATTTATTAGGTGAGTGGTAACTTGCATTTTCAGATATTTGTGTGTATGTGTGTATACATACAAAAATAAAATGAAGCCAATAGTGAATACTGTGGATATGACAGGAGTGAGAAGGAGATGGTTCTTTCTTGTAACACTAATAGTTGCTGAAACTTAAAACTATTAATTTTTTATAACAAGAAAAAAATCAAATTAATTTATTACCGTAGTTCCACTTGTATTACATTACAAGTAACTAAAAGCTGTGATGAGCTGTGATCTAATACTCTTTCCTCTTACTATTTTTCCCACAATTGCAACCCTGATAGAGAGTCAGCATCATGCTGACTTTCATGCCAAAAGCGGAATTATAGGTCATAGGGTCTTGCTTTCTAGGCCAGGACTTTAACCATTACACCAAACTGGTTCTCATAGTCATAGTTATTGATCTCAGGTAATAGCCTCTCAACTAAATATTGATTGTTTCTAGATTTGAGTAACATAAACTAAACCACAGTTTATAATGGCAGCAAAACTATATTCATTTTTTTAAAGCTGATAGTCTGGAACTTGAATTAATCAGTTTATAGAACAAGAACATTTTTCTTTACTTGTGGCTGTATAGATTTTACACGGCCACACACCAAGCAAAAAAAAAAAAAAAGGAGTAAGTGACCTAGAATTATTCGGTCTTTCTCTTGATGTAATTAAATATCTTCTGTTCTAGTGAGAATATGAGTCTTCCAAATAATGAAATCTAAATATGCTATCATATGCTATTTATTTAATGATAGTCTAAGCCAATATTCAAGTTCAGAAATTAATAGGTCAATACAAAGTGGAACTACTCAATAATCCTGTGGGATGTTTCATGAATGTATAATGTTGCAATAGATAAATTTATATTAATGCTAATGTAGGATTATGTGGTTTCTAGGAAAACAACTCATGTGAAAAAGAGCAAAATACAGTTTAAATTAAATTAAATACATCATCATTACAGTTTATTGTTTTAAGATTTTCAAATATAAGAAAGACAAATGGAGTCTGACTGTACCATTGGTAAGAATTTTTGGGCCACCTAGTCTTTAAGATCTGAGTTCTTTCAACTTCTAATCGAAATGGGCTATCAAAGTTTTATGACAAAGACAGAAATCAGTCCAAGTAATTAAATAGTGTCCTGACCAAAAGGCCATCTTGCAGAATATTACTTATGAATCACATTTTTGAACCACACATCTACCTCACAGAGAGATGGCTTTAGATACATATTACTATCTGTATGCTAGTTGAAAAATACTAATGGAGCTTACCTGGGACCTGCTAATAGCATAAATACTCAGAAATGTTACAGTATTTGATTTCATAAGAACATCTTCTGCTTCAGTTAATGTACAGAATCTTCATTTAATTTGTTCTTTTACTAATTTAAAAACCACTACCACTCATCTAGCCAATACAGGGGGTGACATATAATATAGTCTTTGCAACATGCACGATTTCAGATAAACTGACTGCATTTCCATAAGCCATAGCCACCATAGCAGACAGTTCGTTTGGGGAAAGCTGTTTAGCTTATGAGTTACAAATTTCCATTGTTTGACATAGCGAATGAATTTTTGGAATGCTTCTTCAGTTTCATCCAAAGAAAGAATTGTGATTTCCTGTTCTTTCTATTATTTTGGTGGCTCAAAAACAACCAATTTCTCCATGGTATTATATCAAATCATTGGATCCTGATTTATAGTTATGTTCCAATTGCTTCATTTATGCCCTATTATAAACTCTACCCTATTTGCATCTACATTTTCATCAAATGCAGAAGAATAATGACATATCTGAGATATAGGCAATGTTACTGAAAATTATACTGTTTTCAGGAAAATTGTCAACAAATAATCTAATAAGGTTTTGTTGGAATTTGCTATAGTCTACTGTTACAAGGTATTATCAAGAGGATATGAAGCTAATTCTAAAGAATAGATTGTTCCTCTACTAAGCTTTCCTACTATGATCTATTATTATCATAAGACATTGTATTGGCTTGAAGTTTTCATATTTTTATGTGGAAGTATTTAAATGCAGAGACTCTCTTAGCAGCAGAGAGCAATACTGGCCCAAGAAGTCCCTCACTGCAATTTCATGCTTTG